TTAGGTCTATTTGGTTTAAAACTGATATTTCTGTGTTGATTTTCTGTCTGGATGATCTGTCCATTGTTGAAAATGGGGTATTGAAATCTCTTACCATTATTTTATTGCAACCTGTCTTTACCTTTATATCTGAAATGTGCTTTATTTATTTGGGTGCTCTGCTGATGGGTGCATACATATTTACAGCTATTTTATCCTCTTGTTGAATTGATTGTCTTATTATATAATGAACTTTTTCTTGGCAGTTTTTGATTTAAAGTCTATTTTATTTTATATAAATATGGCTATTCTTACCTTTGGTTTCCATTTGCATGGAATTATTGTGAGATAGCTTCTGTGATGATAACCAGGTTCTCGGTGTTACAGACAAAGAACTGAGTGAAGCATGCCAGTAGTGAAAGGAAAAGTTAGTTTATTAGGTACATTCCTGAGAGGTAGGGGTGAGCCTGAGCGGACTGGAAGAGTGGCTCAAAAGGCCCTGGCAGTTACATTCTGTGGGGTTTATAACTTTTAATTGACGTCGTGTTGGATGATCACTGGCTGGGCCCACTGATTGTTCTTATCTCCTTGGCTCTACCAAATGTGGCTGGGCCCACTGACTCGTCTCATTGGCTCTATCAAATGTGGCTCAGTCAGCTAGACGTCCACCACCAATTTCCTGCCTACATTACCTTGGGCACGACATTTTTTGCCCTGATCTGTTTTTCTATCTAGCCACATGGGCAAATGCTCCAGCCCCCTTACCCACTTTCATTTGCCAGCTTTCTCCTGCCTCAGTATGTCTTTTTTATGAAGTTGTTATATATATATATATATATTTTTTTTTTTTCATGAGTGAAAGAGACAGAGATACAGTATCCCTGACAGGTTCTCAGTACTGCAGCTCACCCCCACGTTCAGCCAGCTTTAGCCATCCTGTGAAGGATGGAGCTTGAGAAAAATAAAACAAAATAAAAATGGAGAAAGATAGCTATCAGAATGCTGCAAAGTAAATGATATCTACTGAGGACAAAATGATCACAATAAATGCAATTAGTGTTTCTTAAGGAAATAAAATAGAACAAAAAATATTAGCAGAAATGAATGAAATTTTTCCTAAAATAAAACTCATAGGCAATAAGGCTTGTATCCACAAACCTTTCTGGAAAAGATAACTTGATCAACTAATCTAGCTAAGAAAGAGATGAATCGAAGTAGAGAGCCCAGTAATGAAGCTGCCATGTTAGGAAAGAAATGCTTAGAAAATAGAGTGGCATGATGTAAAGCTTTGCAGTGTAAAATAATAATGCAGTTAAAGTGGGAAAGGGAAGTGAGACTCAACAAACATGTCTGTAGCAGGTAAGTGAAGGAATTTGTCTTTTAGAACATTGTTTATTATTGTTAGGAGCTCAGCAGAATGGGGAAGGAGAGAGCTGAGATGCCAGGGGTCAGAGGAGTTTATTAAAAAACTTGAAGCCTTTCCTCTCTTAACTTGATGGTATTAGTAAGAGTCTAAAAACAGAGAATATGCTCACTCCCCCTGTTTCATTTCCTCTGGATCGGTGCAGAGTCCAGAAGGTCTGGATCAGACCTTTTCACTGCTGAGGGAGCCCCTGGTGTTAAGAGAAGGGCTTGTTAGAAAAGTGTGGATACTGAGTGGGGAAAAGTCTTCAAGAATTTGTTCCTTGTTCTCCTCCCCCAACGAGGAGATCCAGGCAGAGGACTCCTGCCCGAGCCAGCAGACAAGGAGACCGGGAATGAAGGCTCTGGGACCAGAAATGCAAATGTACATAGAGCATGACTTTCCAGGAGGGCCTGAGACCTTAACTGCAGCCCGTAGGAGACTGCGATGCTGTACACAAAGTCTAGTATGGGAAGGTCAGCTTTCCCTTGTGAGGCCTGCCATAGAAGGTCATTGTACTTACCTGTTATTAGCCACCCTACCCCCCCCCCACCAAATCACACGAATGTTTTTAACCAGAAGCAGACCTGCGTGTTTAGAAAGAAATGAGAAAGTTTTTTACTGATTTAGTGAAAAAACTAAATCAGTGAGGTGTCTAATGAGAACGTATTAGTCACTAGTGTATGAACTTCACGTGAACAGAAGCCTCACCTACTTCGTTCTTTGTTTCACTCTCAGACCTAGCACAATGCTGGCATCTAATAGGTGCACACACTGTGAAATAATGGAGAATTAATTTACGAATCTTGTTTAATGAACAGCATATTGTGCCAAAAAACTGTACAAAGACATTTCAGGCAAATGCTCATAAAAAATAATTAAGGTTTCAAAATTGATATTAGATACACACGCACTTATATATTTATCTCCAAATTCGGTGACATGCTAAATCATTACAAGCATTCTCATTAAAATAATGAGTAAGACAAGGATGTCAACGATGGCACTATTACTTACTATTGTTAACGATCTTTAGCTAATATACTCACCCAAGAAAAGTAGTCTGTAAATAGAAATGAAGATTCAAAAACTTTTCTGAATATGTCTGAAGAACACAAAAGACTTAACTAAAAGTAGTATGAAGGGCAATTAGTGCATTTAATAAGGAAACTGGTTACAAAAATGTGATATCCAGTAGCTTACTATATACAAATAGGAACCTGTTCAAAAATATAGTAGAAGAAAGTCTTCATTTGTCAGTTAAGAACACAGTAGTTATAATACCCCAAAACTAACAAGAAATCTGTAAAACTCACATGAGAGTGAAAGAGACTTCAAAATGAGGGAAAGTATGCATGGTCATGAATAAGATGGTGGATACTGTAACAATTTTAGTTCTTTCTATAAATTTAACAAAATAGCCAAAAGTTAATGTTTTCTAATCTGCCAAGTTCTTCCCTAAAGTTTAAATGAAAATTAAGAATAGTCAGGAAGCTTTCTGAGAAGAGAGCAGTAAGGCAGACAAAGGGACAGCTAGAACTGCCAGTGAACACAGGCCCTAAGCAGTGTTACCAGGCCAAGTGGATCTAACATTGTCTGAAAGCAAACGTGTTTTCTTTACCTTGTGTGGCCATGTTGTGGAAAAAGGGTATGTTTCCACTAGCTTTAAAATACCAAATCATTAAAGGCAACTCCTGCATTTCCATGACTACTGTCTTAAATTCCAATTCATATTTATTGACCTAGAATGCCAGGTTAAGTAAGGTTTTGAATGATTCGATTTAGTGATTATTTTTTGCATACTGCCCTATCATTTGTTCTAAACTCATTATTTTCAAGAATCCTTTAAATTATATTTTTAGTATCTAGCTATATTTGAGATATTGACTGTTTACTTCCTTTATATTCTGCACATTACATGATTCTGGCACAGCTGCTATGAGGCATTGTTGCTTTACTTCTGTTTTAGGTTTTTAATTGCAATCAGTCCACATCAGTTGCTTATCATAATGACCCTGTATGCCCAGCTGTTTAACCTGAATATGATGTGCCTTCTAAATGCTGCCCTTATCTTCTGTCAGACTATTCAGTATATGATTTTCAAATTGTCTGAACCCGGTCCAGAAGTACTTTAGGAAACTTTCCATTTTTAATTTTTATTTCATTTGACAATTGTGTCTTAAATTATTTAAAACCCTGTGGTCAAAAATGATAAACATGCACTTTCAGACTTCTAACATAGTGGCGACAACTGATGTGTTTCCAGGTTAATTAACTCTTTACAGAACATAGAGTAAAGATTTTCCTACTTTATTCATGTAGTTGAACCTCTTAGAAATGTATTATAATTAGGAAGGTTATGATTCTGAGCTGATCTCTTTTATTTCTGGCTAAGGATATCCAGGTAAGACTACTTTATGAGAGTTGGCAAACCTGTGACTTCTCTTTTTCTGTGTTTACCCTGTGATATATGAAAAAGGAACAGTGTCTAGCAGATGGTGTAACAGTTTCATTGGACTCGCACATGGCTGACCGTGGTTCGAATTCCAGACCCAGTGGTTCGCTCACACTGTGTGTGTGTGTGTGTGTGTGTGTGTGCACGTGCATCCAAAATTCCAAGAGGAAAATAGAGGAGAAGCAATTATGGCATGGCCATCCCTCTTGGGGGAGTGATATCTTACCTTTTGTCTCTCTATCTCTGTCTCTTCATTGAGTGTACACGTCCCATAGCAAAAAACAAAAACACAAACTCCCTTCAAAAAAAAGGAACAAATAAGCATGTATTTCAACTACAAAGCCTAGAGGGATTATTTTGATGAATCTTGTCTATAGTCTTGAAGTTCTTTGCATACAACTAGAAAATCATAAAATAATGGAAGCTTTCTGAAAATGGAACCTTTTTACATTTGGTGACAGCTATGTATATGAAAGGGATGGTGACTGGTCAGTTTATCACATTTGCTAAATGAAAGTATTGATAGGCAGGTATTTAGAAATTTCCTAGACTCTATGCCAGAGCTCATTAATTATAAAATAAGGTTTTCCATGGTGGGTTCCAGAAGACAGAACAATGTATGAATATCCAGGCAAGGACCAGCAGGTGGCATGGTGGTTAAAGATGCTAGACTCCCACATGGGTGACTGCAGTTCGAGTCCTGGACCTGGCGATTTGCTTTCTCACTTTCCCCGAAAGGAAGGAAGAAAAGTGAAGGAAAGAAAAGAGGAAAGGAAATAATTCTTTTTTTTTTTTTTTTTTTTTAAGAAAGAATAACCAGGAAAAGAATGCTTAGGACCCAGGAGGCTTCTTTTCCAGAACGGTTGTAACTTGCTCTGGGAACTTGGGGAAGTCACTTAATTTCTTGTAGCTTCCATTTATTATTCAACTTCATTCACAGATTACTTTGGAAAGTTAGTCCAACTGTGTTGTTTTGGAACATACTGTATTATATAAACTTGTAATTTCTGACATATCTATAGCTAACACTTTTCCTTCTTCCCATTCTAAACTTGATATAAACTCTTAATTTCTGATATATCTATTTATAACTAGCATTTTTTCCTTCTTCCCCATTCTAATTATGTTTTAATGTTCTTTACCCCCCGAATGTTCATTCCTTAGGGTATTACACTAGAAGAGTTTGACAGATTATCTTTCGATATGATTTTAATGAGCCCTCCATGTCAACCATTTACAAGGTATGTATAATAAATATTTCTCTGTTGAGAAAGTGTACTTCTGAAGGATTTACTCAATCAAATCATACCATAGTTTCAATCATGGTCACTTAGAAGTCCATTAGCTGCATTTTTCATAGTTTTGAAGATTTTCATAAATAATTCCTTTCTTCTACGCATATTTAACAATTCAACATTAATCATAAAGGACATGGCACTTACTACCAGATGAATAAAATAATTTGGTCAGCCATAGATATGTAACACTAAAAAAGACTTCTTTTGGGACCAGCAGTTAACGTAATGGCTATGTCTCTGAACTCCCATGTAGTCAACTGCGGTTTGAGTCCCAGACCTGGTGGCTTAAACTCACGCTGGGCATGTGTGCATGCGTGCCCAAGATCCTGAGAGGAGAATGGAGGAGAAGGGTTTGCAGTGTGGCCATCCCCCCTGGATGGTGATTTCTTGCTTTCTGTCTCTCTGTTTCTCTCTGTCTTTCTGGTGAGCGCACGCGCCCTATAGCAAAAAGCCTCTCCAAAAAAAAATTATAATTGGGACTAGCAGATGGCCTTATGGTTATATCGCTGGACTCCCACGTATTCGACTGCTGTTTGAGTCCCAGACCCAGCTCCCAGCGGCTTAAAACTAATGTCAGGCATGTGTGCGTGTGTACCCAAAATCCTGAGAAGATAATGGAGAAGGAGATAGCGGCATGGCCAACTCTCTTGGGGGATGATTACTTGCTTTCTGTCTCTCTGTCTCTGTCTCTCCTGTGAACATATGCACCCTATAGCAAAAATCTCTCTAAAAATGAAAAATTATAATTTAGGGCCCAGCAGGAAGTGTGGTAGTTAAGGTGTTGGACTCCCACATGGCTGACCGCATTTTGAGCCCAGACCTGGTAGCTTGAAAATCACACTGGGTGCATGTGCATACATGCCCAAAATCCCAGAAGGAGAATGTAGAAGAAATTATGGTGTGGCCATTCCCCTGGGGGGGTGATTTTTCATTTTCCCTTGCTCTCTCTCTCTCTCTGGAAATTGCATAAGCCATATGGTAAAAAACAAAAAATATTGAATATATATAAGTTAGATATGTGTTTCAGGGAATTATATCTTAAATAGAATCTTGACTAATTCAGCCTCATATATTTTAATATTAATATTTTAAATTATAATAATAATCTAAGTATATTATATGAAGTATTTCATTTAATTTAAGAAGCATATAGGATAGGCATTACTATAGTTATTTTATATGTGAAAAACTGAGGCATAGAAAGATTAATCTTCCCAAGTTTTACAATTTCATTATGTCATAGCCAGGAGTTTCTCAGTCATCCTACATATTTCTGCTTTAATATGTATGATTTGGGGACCAGCAGTTGGTGTAATGGCTATATCGCCAGACTCTCCTGTAGTCGACTGCAGTTCGAGTCCCAGACCCGGTAGCTTAAACTCACACTGGGCACGTGTGCGTGTATGCTTAAGATCCCGAAAGGAGAATGGAGGAGAAGGGATTGTGGCATGGCCATCTTCCCGGGGGGTGATTTCTTGCTTTCTGTCTCTCTCTGTCTTTCTGGTGAGTATGTACACCCTGTAGCAAAAGTCTCTCCCCAAAAAAAAGAAAAGGAAAAAAAAATATGATTTTAAGTAGAATACCATATGTAACAAATATTTTAGTTCAAATGAATAGTTACATACTAAATTTCATTCTAAGCTTTGATTTATTTAAACAGCTCTCTAGGAAACTAACTCCAAGGATATATCGTGCACTTATATGTCAGCTGTTTTTGATGCAATAGTTCCTGCCCTTTAAAGTATCTGTAGTTTTAATGGGAGTGACTGACAAATACTTATCTTATAATGTAATAAAAACTTATGTAATAAAAAATACTGGAAGTACCAATAGAGCATAGAGAAAATCACTTGCTGCATACTAGGAAACAAATTCTTTCAGAGGTCCTGTCTGAGCTATGTCTGAAAGCAGATAAGGAGTTTATCAGAGAAGGCAAAGGACATACCTGTATGTGTATGCAAGGATATGGCCTGTTAGGTACAATAAGCAGAATATACAGAACAAAATGCAGCCCCAGCACTATACAGCTTTATATATTACTGCAGTTTGCCCCCAATATCTTCCCTACCTACCATCCCCACCCTGAATAAACACAACTCCAGCTGCTGATGGTAGCAGTAGCTGATCCCATACTTGTCATCATTTGGAACTCTGAGATGAAAGAGCCAGGACAAGAAGAAACAAAGATTTCTGAGGAATCTGTTTTATTCCAATCTAGTCCCCCAGTTGAGCCTTGGACCTAATGAAGGCCTTGGGCCTGCAGTCAGGTATGAAGAAACTGATAAATGATGTTGAGTAAGTTATTGAAGACTATATAGCAGGGCTTTAAATCTGCATCCTTTATTCACTGCTTTCCTAATTCAAGTCTTCTGTTTTCCCTTGATTCTTTGTTATGGTGTAAATCTTACTACTAAAATCCTAATTGCTGGACCAGCATGTGGCGTGATGGTTAAGGAGTTTGGACTCCCACATAGCCAGATGTGGTTCGAGACCCAGACCCAGCAGCTTGAAACTCACATTGGGCAAGTGTATGTGCATGTCCAAAATCCCAGAAGAAGAATGGAGCAGAAGGGATTGTGGTGCTGCCCCCCCCCCCCCCCCGGGGGGGGGGTTTTCTCGGGGGTGATTTCTCACTTTCCCTATCAATGTCTGTCTCTCCAGCAAGGACACACACTCTATGGTAAAAACCTTCAAAAAAAAACCAAAAAGCAAACAAACAAACAAAAAAACAAAGCAAAAAACCATTGCTGATCTAAGTACTACCTGTTTGATGGGACCTTTCTAGACCCTAGTTAGTATAACCAAGTTGCAACTCCTTTTTATAAACTCAAACCTTCAGCTTATTCCATTCCTATTTTCATTAGATGAGATTGTCTTAGTCTTGCTTACTACTTTGATTTCTTTAGATAGTGATTAGTCAACAAGGCCATCAGCTCCAGGTGCTGCCCTAAGCAGCCAGCATATTCATTTGAGCTGTGACTTCATGTCAATACTTCAAAAATTTCAGATTTGGAGTATTTTGGATTTGGGATTTTGGGGTTAGGCATTCTCAATCTGTAATTGGTTTTATTCTTCACTGATCTCTTGTTCTTAGCTTGGTGTAAATCATTTGGCATATTATTTTGTAAAAGTGAATTTTTGGCATACAGTCATGTGTTGCTTAACCGTGGGGATACATTCTGAGGAATATGTCCTTAAGTAAGTGGTTATTTGTGAGCATCATAGAGTACTCTAACTCAAACCCAGGTGGTATAGCCTAGTACATATCTAGTCCATATGTGTATCTTGTGGGACTACCATTGTATATGAAGTTCATGGGTGACCAAATGATGTATGACTATATTAGATATGCAAGTCTTTTTTAAAAAGTTAAGTGAATAGATGCATTTTGTTCTCAATAGCAACAAAGATGATCATATTTTCGTTTTAAATCTGTTTTAATTTTTTAAGCTCATTTAATATTTTTATATAAAATTCTTGATAAATTTTGTTATCCTTTTTTCATCACTTTAGAATTGGACTGCAGGGTGATATGACTGACCCAAGGACGAATAGCTTCTTATATATTCTAGATATTCTCCCAAGGTAAAAACTTAGATTTCTGTACAAGCTTATTTTAAATTTAAAACCTTGAAAAGGCCAGAATGTTATAAAGATCAGCAGTTATATGTACTCTCTTTGGGTACTATGTATGTAATTTATCTTGTTCTGCTGTGACTGACGGAATAACTGCAAATGTTTCAGGATGCCTTGCTTGCCATCTCTGTGAGTGGCAGGGAATTACAGCCCACCAGCTAAATTCTATTACATCTGCTCACAGTGTAATGCAAATGATGCTGATGTTTGCTGAAGACTGTTGTTACTCATGCCCCAGAAACTCAGAGCTAACTCTGGAAGCCACCAGTCCCTGTGAGCAGCAACACTTTGAGCTGTGCAGTACAGAGGACTGTGCAAACCTGTGTTCTGAGATAAGTTTCAATGGAAATTAACATTTCAAATGTTAACTTTATCAACTATACCATGCTTATGGGGAAAAATGAATATGTTATCTCTATATATTATATGTTTTCTTTATTATAAAAAGAGACATTCAGGGAGCTGTCAGGTGGCGCTGAACTCCCACATGGCTGACTGTGGCTGACTTTGAGTCCTAGGACTGGCAGCTTGCTTTCTCACTTTCCTTCTTTTTCTTGTGAGTGCATGTTCCCTGTGACAAATTATTAGCTTGTCTGAAAAATCGTGACAGATTTTTCTATGCAAAAATGCATCATGGCTTTTCCGACAACCCAATAAAATATAATAATGATAATAAATAAAGTTAAATAATTACTTTAAAAAGAGACTTCAGAAAATTACTTGCCTCATTTTTCACCAGTAATAATTTTCTTTATGTTTATTTATGTTACTTCTTAGTAATAAAATATTTTAATTTTATTTATTTTTGTTTTTTAGGTTGCAAAAATTACCGAAGTATATTCTTTTAGAAAATGTTAAAGGCTTCGAAGTATCTTCTTCAAGGTAAAAAATGTTTCTGTCTTACATACATCTTAGTGTATTTTATATCAGGAATTGTTGTGAAATAAAGATCTTAAAAATAAACACAAACATTTTCACATTTTACACGTTATATATCTTATTTATAACTATTGGTTTTGGATAATATAAAATAATACAAAGTTTGGTTCAACCAATTCTCATTTTTTTTTTTGGAGAGATTTTCACTATAGAGCGCGTGCGCTCGCCAGAGAGAGAGAGACAGAGAGACAGAAAGCAAGAAATCACCCCCAGGGGGGATGGTCACGTTGCAATCCCTTCTCCTCCATTCTCCTCTCGGGATCTTGGGCATGCACGCACACTCGCCCGGCGTGAGTTTTAAGCCACCGGGTCGGGGATGTGAACCGCAGTTGGCTACGTGGGAGTCCAGCGACATAGCCATTACGCTAACTGCTGGTTCCCGACCAATTCTCATTTTGATATGCTTGAATTTTTCTCAAATGAAGATTCATTTTAATGAGAATGATATTTCTTAATTTTAGTCGCTTAGGCTTATTCCATTCCAAGTAGGAATGTTTTGGGTAAGAATTGGTCCTGTTGAGGACCATTTTCTGCCTTACAGTTAGCTGCAGAAAGATGCCCTGTCAGGTGTTTTTCAGATGGTGGCCAGGGGGAGAGAAACATCTTAGTCCTGATTTATGTGCTGTCTCCAACAGAGTTCTCATCTGATTTCCTATGTTGAAGATAGAGTTCCACTTCTGTGGCAGATTTATCACCAATAGATTCATGGCTCTAAGTTTTAGTAATTTGGATAAGTTATCCGACTGGTCTATTTATTTGTAATAAAGAATTTTCTGTATCTTTTTGTTAAATATCTCTTCTCAAGTACTGGACTTAGTGTAAGAGTTAGGACCATTTTCTTCCTAAACAACCAAAGTAGACTTTAGTTTTCACTTAAAGTGAGTTTTTATATGCTATATTTTATGTAAGAGCTCCATTTCACACGCAGGGTGAAAATGTTTTTTTCTTTTCTTTTCTTCTTTCTTCAGAGACCTGTTGATACAAACAATAGAAAATTGTGGCTTTCAGTACCAAGAATTTCTATTATCACCAACCTCTGTAGGTACCAAAATTAAAGACCTTTATATAAATTACAATTAAAAGGCTTTTATTTTTCCCAAAGGGAATTTGATTTGATAAACAGAATGACCCCCTTTTGGATGATATTATAGATAAATCCTGAAATTAATTCAGACATGAGTCTCACTTTCCAATTAGTGGGTTGTTGGAAAAGTCATGACGTATTTCTTTGATGTTTTTCTATGCAAAAATGTGTCATGGCTTAAAAGAAATGTGTCATGACTTTTCTGATGACTCAGAAATATAGCCCATGCATGTAGTTTAGTTTGTACATATTTTATGAAAAAATTAATAATAGCTTGAAGCTAATAAAGAATATATTGTTCTTTTGAAGAATAAAGGATAATGTTTTAGAAAATGAGTATTATGTGAAATTTAGTATTTCCAAGCAAGATGTGTTATAGTTTAATAATGCTTCAGAATAATCCCAAATACCAAACAAAATAAACATATAATACTTTTCTAATTAATTTTTGTGATATAAACATTAAATTGCAAACATTGCTTCCATTTCATGGGTAAGAAATCAAAGTTATTGGTATAAATATTTGACACATTTTTATTTTCTGTTACTGTCAGTTTTTCCATTGTGCTTATTTCTTATCATCTCTAGCTGTATTATGTATTTCTTTGATCGAATATTAAAAGAAAACCCATTTCAAAAATTAGGTATGTAAGTTGTAAAGTAAAAATTGGTAAAGTATCTGATCTCTTTAAATATAGCTCATATTTATTACCTTTTAGCTTCTGAAATATAGAAAATTCTGCTTTTGAAAGAAAATCAGGTAGTAAATAGAGAAGAATAGCTTTAGTTGAATTTCATTTTTAAATGATTAATGTATTATCTATGATGAATGTAAAAATATCTGTATTACTTCTTACTTGGGAAATATATAGTGACAGTGACTCAGGCGTATGACTCATCAGCTTTAACCTTTGCCTCATTCATATAAAGACTCAGCATCAGTTTAACAGTTTAAAATTTTGCTGCAAAGAAATATTTCACAAATCAGTAACAGAATTTGCTCTGGCAGAAGCTAAATGTTTACCTGTATGAGTTTTTGTTACGAGGTGCTAAAGTTAGTGTAGAGCTCTCTAGTGTCCTATAGTAACTATCTGCTCTGCTTTCCTTGCAGCTTGGCATTCCAAATTCAAGGCTACGGTATTTCCTTATCGCAAAGCTTCAGTCAGATCCATTACCTTTTCAAGTCCCTGGTCAGGTATTATTATTCTTAGTTATTATAGTTTATTTATTACAAATATTTTTCAGCCTGCTAATTTATTTTCATGGTTAATATACACAAGGGTTTATATAGCATCTGTAGTACAGACCATGCTTTATGTCCATCTCCAGGTGTTTTATCCCTCCTTTTATTATTTTTGTTTTTGTCTTTTAGGTTTTTGCCATAGGGTGCATTCATCTACCAGAGAGAGACAAAGAGAGAGAAAGTGAGAAATCATCCCTCTGGGGGGATGGCCATGTCACAATCCCTTTTCCTCCATTCTCTTCCTGGGATTTTGGGCACATATATGCATGCACCTGACATGAATTTCAAGCCGCCAGATCTGGGACTTGAATTCGTGGTTGGCCATGTGGGAGAACAGTGCCTTAACCATCTGTGCCATCTGCTGGTTACTTGTTTTTGTTTTTGATTGCTAGAGGATGCATGGGCTCTCCAGAGAGAGACAGAGAGACTGAGGAAGAGAGGAAAAGGGAAAAAACACCTGCTAATGAGATGTGGTCATACAGCAATCCTTTTCCCTCCATTTATCCATCCTGTTGTGATTCTGGACAGCCATGCACAATACCCCAGCATGTTTTTTATTTTTGGAAAGGTTTTTGCTATAGGGCGCATGCGCTCGCCAGAAAGACGGAGAGAGACAGAGAGACAGAAAGCGAGAAATCACTCCCCAGGTGGGATGGCCACTTTGCAATCCTTTCTCCTCTATTCTCCTCTCAGGATCTTGGGCACATGCGCACTTGTGCCCAGTGTGAGTTTAAGCAACCAGGTCCAGTACTCAAACCATGACTGATGGGAGTCCAGTGACATAGCCATTGTGCTAACTGCTGGTCCCCCATCCCAGCATGTTTTTCAAGCCATGGAGCCAGCATTGGAACTATGGTCAGTCATGTGGGATCTGGCTTCCTTGACCACTAGGCCACAGACCAACTGAACGCTTTTATTGATTTAAAGAAAAATTTTTTTTCTTGTATCATTAGAAAAAATATGTTAAAAAGTTTAAAAATTACCATCAGTGCCGTTTCCTCTCCAGTTAACTCATAATTTCTTTTCTGACCATTGACTATTTTGAATTTATCATTTTCCCCACCCAATAGAAGCCATTGCTTATTTATTTATTTATTTGAGAGATTTTTGCTATAGGGCACGTGTGCTCGCCAGAAAGACAGAGAGAGACAGAGAGATAGCTAGAAATCACTCCCTGTGAGACGGCCACGCTGCAATCCCTTCTACTCCATTCTCTTCTCGGGATTTTGAGCACGTACGTACATGTGCCCAGTGTGAGTTTAAGCCACCGGGACTGAGACTTGAACCTTGCTCGACTACATGGGAGTACAGTGACATAGCCATTATGCTAACTGCTGGTTCCGCCATTGCTTATTTTTGATAAAATTCCAATATATTATCTTAAAAGTGGCTTAAGTGTTTTAATATTATTTACATTTTATTTATGGCCAATGCCATTTAGCCTTAATTAATTAAAATATAATATGATTTATTCAAATAAAGTACTCAGTTGTGTTAAATAGGATCTCTAATTATATAAGCAATTTTAAATGCTTTGATCAAAAAATAAATTTCAGTGGTATGTGAGAAATCAGATGTCATCTCCTACTAACAGTGTCATTAGAATCCCCTGTAGGAGATCAGCAGGTGGCGTGGTGGATAAGGTGCTGGACACTCCACTGACTGACCGCAGTTCAAGTACTGGGCCTCATGGCTTGCCTTCTCTCTCTCTCTCCCCCTCTCTCTTTCTTTTTGTGTATGTGTGTATCTCTGGTAAAATTAAAATAAAAAAATGAATATATAAAATTAAATGAATAATTAAAAAAAAAGAATTCCCTAAATACAATACTAATATGAGGTGTCTTCAAGAAGTTAAAAGAAGTACTTTATAAAGTTTCAAGATTGTTTTGCACCAAAATGCACTTGTACTTTAATTCTATTTTTCTATGAACTTTTCCCCCTCATATGTCTTCGTTTTCATAATGAGCAGTTCTAAAAGCAATGTGTAAAGTATATTAACAAAGACTTCATCATGAAAAATGCCTGAAATAATTTTCTTTTTGCAGTTAGGACTTTAGACATAGTTGTATGTTTTGCAGAAACAAGTTTTTCCTTTGGGACTCATGAATAGAAATAACCTTTCACAGTGAAAAGCATTTTTCTTTTTTTAATTACTCGTTTCCTTTTAGATCATGAGTATAATCCAGTTGTTCCTTGTTAATGAAGGGGTTTGGCAAACTTTGATCAAAAATACATTTTCTGGAAATGTTACTGTTGGTTTCTCAACTTCTTTTCCAAATATAATGCCTTATATATGTTTAATATTTACTATTACCTGATTAAAATTTTTAATAAGACATACAGAGGGCAACGACTCCATGAAACAAATCATCTGTCACCTCATTACAGTTTAGCTATATGATTAATATATTGTAGTACTTGGGACCAGCAGATATGCGGTGGTTAAGGTGCTAGACTCCCTCATGGCTGGCTGTGTTTCGAATCCTGGACCTCACAACTTGTTTTCTTACTTTCCCCTTTTGTGTCTCTCTCTGGTAAGTGCGTGTGCCCTATAGCAAATTATAAAAATAATTATAATAACAATAAGTAAAATTAAATAATTCAAAAAAATTATAAAATAAAATAAATTGTAATACCTTGTACAAATACAAGTAAACCACAATTTCTGTCTTTTTCATGGCAACTCTATAAAGACTTAAGAGGTTTTTATGTAATGTTGACTGGATGTTATTTTTTTTAAAGGATTGTTTAATCTTGGGACCAGCAGTTAGCATAATGGCTATGTTGCTGGATTCCCGTGTAGTTGACCGTGGTTCGAGTCCCGGATCTGGGGGCTTAAACTCACGCCAGGCGCATGTACATGCATGCCCAGGATCTTGAAAGGAGAATAGAGGAGAAGGGATTGCAGCATGGCCATCCCCCTGGTGGTTGACTTCTTGCTTTCTGTCTGTCTCTCTCTGTCTTTCTGGCAAGCACATATGCCTTATAACAAAAAAAAAAAAAAAAGATTATTTAATCTTATTCATTGTCATTATTTTATTTTTTTTTTTTGAGGTTGATCAGAGAGAGATAGAGCAAAAGAAAAGGAAAATGAAAAAAAGCAAGCCACCAGGTTCAGGACTTGGACTGTGGTCAACCATGTAGGAGTCCAGCTGTCTTAACCATCATACCACTTGCTGGCCCCTTGACTGGGTTATTAATTTGTCTTTTATTTTTAATAAACCTTTTCACAATTTGTGTATTTTTGCTTAATGTCAGGTATTGATGAAATTCTCCCAGATTGAATCTGAACATCCACAAAAGTATCCAATAGATGCACAAGATAAGATTGAAAAAAAGAAAATTGAAACAAATATTTGTATCAATAGCACCACACAAAGTTCTGGAAAAGATGCCATTCTTTATAAGCTTGAAACTGCAGAAGAAGTTGACAGGAAACATCAACAGAACAGTGATCTCTCTGTACAAATGCTAAAAAATTTTCTTGAAGAAAACATTGACATGAATCCATACTTTTTACCACCAAAATTATTGCTGCGATATGCTCTTTTATTAGACATTGTTAAGCCTACTTGCAGAAGGTCCACATGCTTTACCAAAGGGTAAGTTTTAGAGAGACTTTATTCATGTATTTCCAAAATAATCAGTTTTTTATAGCTATTCTTTCTTCTCAAAGCAAGGAGTACTTTCTAAAATTTTTCTGTTTGAATCTTTTTTCTCCCCCTTAATTGCCTGCTTCATGATCTAATAGTACATGAGTGAAAAGTCTTCTGGCAGAACATCCTGTGCACCACCCACTGACACGCTCATGAAAGACAATGCATTTTGGGACCAGCAGTTAGCGTAATGGCTATGTCGCTGGACTCTCATGTAGTCGACTGTGGTTCACGTCCTGGACCCAGTGGCTTAAACTCACGCCAGGCGCATGTGCGTGCGTGCCCAAGATCCCGAGAGGAGAATGAAGGAGAAGGGATTGCGGTGTGGCCACCCCCCAAGGGGGTGATTTCTCGCTTTCTGTCTCTTTTTTTTTTTTTGGAGAGATTTTCACTGTAGGGCGCGTGCACTCGCCAGAAAGACAGAGAGAGACATAGAGACAGAAAGCGAGAAATCACCCCCCAGGGGGGATGGTCACGCCGCAGTCCCTTCTCCTCCATTCTCCTCTCGGGATCTTGGGCACGCACGCACACGCGCCTGGCGTGAGTTTTAAGCCACCGGGTCCGGGACACGAACCGCGGTCGACTACGTGGGAGTCCAGCGACATAGCCATTACGCTAACTGCTGTTTCCCTCGCTTTCTGTCTCTTGTTGCTCTCTGTCTGTCTGGTGAGCACACGTGCCCTAAACCAAAAAAAAAAAAAAAAAAACCTCTCCAAAAAAAAAGATAATGCGTTTTGTTTTTTGACCTCCATCCATAGGAGGCTTAAATGCTATGGTGGAAACATGGTGTCTGTAGATGGTGAAGTGCTGAATTTTTAGCACCTCTCTTTTTATAGCATATAAAAACATTAGGATAATTTTTAAGTTCAAATTTTACTCAGCTTTTTGATTAAGAAATATATTTTTACGGTTCAAAATCCAAAAGATACAAAGATTATAAGGCTCTCTTCCATTTCTTTCTCTTAGACATTAAGTTCTCTTATCAGTTTACTGTGTAATCCTCCAGATGTATTGTTTGTGAGAGTGTCTTTAAGTGAATGTATGTATTTTTAGTTTTATTTAAGTATATGATAGCATACTGTATTATCTGTCCCCCTTTTTTTTTACTGTACAATGTAAGTACATAAAGGAGTTTTCTATAAGTATATCGTAATTTATTTTACTAGTTACCTACTGAGGAACATTGGGGGGCTTTTTTTTTGTTATTTTTCTTGTGTTTAATGCATTTTTATCAATTTTTTTTAAAACCTAGTATAAAGGGGTAAATTAGGTCTTTTTAGAAATAATCTGTAGGGCCAGCCAGTGGTGTGATGGTTAAGGTGGCTGGATCCCACATGGCTGACTGCATGACTTAAGTCCTGAACTCAACACATCAAGCATCTATGCATGTCCAGAATCTCAAAAGGAGGGAGAAATGGATGAGAAGGGATTACAGCGTGATAATCCCCTATGAGATTGCTTTCTTATTCTCTCTCTCTTACCCCCTTTCTCCCTCCTCCTCTCCCTCTCTCTCCTGTGAGTGCATGTACCCTGTGGCAAATTAAAAAGAATGAACAAAAGAAAGAGAATTTGTCAAAGATTTCTATCCTTTGTGAATGCAACACAACTTCATGTGATAGGTACTTGTATGATGTAATGATTCAAGCCTTCTTTTCTTGATTACTAACTAGTTATTTTGTACAAGACACTATGCCCCTGATCCAGCCATACCAGACTCATTCTGATTTTATCATACTCTACCCTTGTACTTCCAGGGTAAAAAAGTTTATTGCTTTCCATTACCTGCAAAGATTTCATTCAGATGTTGACTCTTACTAAGTCCAATAGGTTCAGTTTAGTACTCTTATAAATCAAGACTTAGCAATTTTGTAATAAAAAACAACCTTGAAATTCTTTTGTAGTTATAAAGATGGTATAAAAGGAGTCTTACTATAAAAGTCTGTTTTACTTTAGGTAATGTATATACAGACACATATAAGAGAACTTCAAAAAGTTTGTGGAAAAATGAGTATGAATTTATTTTGGTATAAAAAAATTTAAAATCCATGTGTAGTTTTTCCTGAAGGCATTTTCCATGAACATTTTGAAGACCCCTTGCTTTTATGTTTGATATACATGGGGACTTACAAAGTTTATGGAAAAATTAAAGTATGAATTTATTTTGGTGCAAAATTTTTTCAAGTTCATACAGAATTCTTTAATGCTGCATATTTTTCATTAACTTTTTGAAGACCTCCCTTATATATGAAAAAATAACTTGTCGAAATTGTTTTTCCCTAGTGTGACTTTTTTCTTCTAATTTCTATTTAAAATCTCTTTTTAGGGAACCAGCAGTTAGCGTAATGGCTATGTCGCTGGACTCCCACGTAGTCGACCGCGGTTCATGTCCCGGACGCGGTGGCTTAAAACTCATGCCGGGCGTGTGTGTGTGCGTGCCCAAGATCCCGAGAGGAGAATGGAGGAGAAGGGATTGCGGCGTGACCATCCCCCTTGGGGGGTGATTTCTCGCTTTCTGTCTCTATGTCTCTCTCTGTCTGTCTGGCGAGCACACGCGCCCTATAGCGAAAAAACCTCTCCAAAAATAATAATAATAATAATAATATCTCTTTTTAGAAAAAATAATACTGGGACCAGCAGTTGGCGTAATGGTTATGTCACTGGACTCCCATGTAGTCGACTGTGGTTCGAGTCCCGAACCCGGTGGTTTAAACTCACGCCAGGCGCGTGTGCGTGCGAGCCCAAGATCCTGAGAGGAGAATGGAGGGGAAGGGATTGCGGCGTGACCATCCCCCCTGGGAGGTGGTTTCTCGCTTTCTGTCTCTATGTCTCTCTCTGTCTGTCTGGCGAGGGCACGCGCCCTATAGCAAAAAAAAAATCTCTCCAAAAAAAAAAAAAAAAAGAAAAGAAAAGAAGAGAATGGAGGAGAAGGGATTGCGGCATGGCCATCCCCCCTGGGTGGCTATTTCTCGCTTTCTATCTCTCTGTCTTTCTGGTGAGTGCATGTGCCCTATAGCAAAAACCTCTCAAAAAAAAAAATAGAAAAAATAATAATACTAATATATTGAACAGCCAACTTGGCAGTCATCTTCGAGGAAGACGGATTATGAATATTTTGTGTTTCTGAAGTATTTTGTACTTTTTATGACATTTTATATTTAATGTTCTAATTATTGTATGAAAGTGATAGTGAAAACATATTGCATTAAATGAGAAGCAGACATAGGCTCAGTTGGACCATCTTTATCTTGGTGCTGGAGAGCAGGGTTTTAGATTCCTGAGATGAGATAAATGATGGTTTAGACATTATAAAAACATAGCATCAGTTTATCTTCACCTACCAATATTTGGTTTAATTTTATAGGGATGTCTATACTGAATATCATTTGAATAGAAAGCACAGACTTTCTATTGATGGACATTTAAAGGCATGACAATTAACACAAAGAAAAGACACTAATACATAACTCAGTTGTGTTTATACAACACAAAAAACTGGAGACCAGCAGATGGTATCATGGTTATGTCACTGGACTACCACATGGCTGACTGTGGTTTGAGTCCTGGACCTGGTGACTTGAAAATCATGCTTGGGCACATGTGTGTGTATGCCCAAAATTCTGGGAGGAGAATGGAGAAGGGATTGCAGTGTGAACATCCCCCTGGGAAGCAAGTTCTCATTTCTCTCTTACTGTGTTTGTCTCTCTCCAAAGTGCACGTGCCCTAAGGCAAAAATCTCTTAAAAACAAAAAATAAACAGTCATGTGTAGTTCCTAAGTTTAAATAGATCTTAGGTCTTACCTAATAATTTTCTAATTACATAACATATTTCTGTGATATTATAGATCTTTCAGAAGGCTTTAACTATATGGGTGAATTCATTCAGAAATATTAAAGGAATTTACCATTGACATACTGAGGTATTGCATAATATTTGTGTTAATTTTCCAGTTATGGAAGCTACATAGAAGGGACAGGATCTGTGTTACAGACTGCAGAAGATGTGCAGGTATTGTGTATGTTTTGAAACTAAAATACTTGAAAGCTTTTAATAAAATTACATTTAATATTTAACTTGAGAATATTAAAATATTTTTACATGTTTAACTGGGAATGAATATGTTATTTATTCATGTATATTTATTATGGTTCTTAACTGTAGAATAAGTTTTTTGTTGCCATATGTGAGTTTATGCACATGAAATATCTTATGTTTTTATTTTTCTTCCTTTTCTCTAAAATTTTCCACCAACATTTTAATATTAGAGCCTTTTCAGATATACTATAAAATTTCCTTTTAAAAAAATAGTTCTTTTAATGTACTTTATTAATGTTTTAGTTGTAAACTCTTCACGGTGTCATGCCTGCATATACACTGATATATAATGCGTTTTATATATTTTTTAATAATTTTATTGTTTCTTTTTTAGACAGATTTTTGCCATAAGGCATGTACGCTCACAGGAGAGACAGAGAGAGAGATACAGGCACAGAAAGCAAGACATCACTCCCCAGGACGGATGGCCATGCTGCCCTCTTTTCTCCTCCATTTTCTTCTTGGGATTTTGGGCATGCACGCATATGCACCTGGTGTGAGTTTTAAGCCACTGGGTCCAGGACTTGAACTGCAGTCGACTACATAGGAGTCCAGCAATGGCATCTTTATGCCATCTCTGGTCCCAATTTTTGAATAATTTTAAAGCAAGGCCACATTTAGTGTGTTTCATACTTATTCAAACTTTTAAGTATTAATATCATTTATACATGATAAAAATACTGTAATAAAGAGACGGGTGTCTGGATTTAAGAAATTATATTTATTTAATTTATTTTAGAAATACTAATTTGAGGGACCAGCAGTTAGCATAATGGCTATGTCGCTGGACTCCCATGTAGTCGACCATGGTTCAAGTCCCAGATCCAGTGGCTTAAACTCACGTCGGGCACGTGTGCGTGCATGCCCAAGATCCTAAGAGGAGAATGGAGGAGAAGGGATTGCGGAATGGTCATCCCCCCTGGGGGGTGATTTCTTGCTTTCTGTCTCTCTGTCTCTCTGTCTGTCTGGCGAGTGCACGCGCCCTATAGCAAAAACTTCTCCAAAAAAAATTAAAAAGGAATACTAATTTGATGAAATTAATTATAAACATGATCTTTTTGTTGGTATTGTAAAATTGACTTCATTGGTTGACCAACTTTTCTTTGTATCTCTCACAACCTTTGTGTATTATATTTGTCATTTATATTCTTATAATTTAATTTTAAGAGATCAAAAATCATAGATACACTAAAAAGTATCCTGCTTTGTTCATTGTCAATCCTTTTTTTCTTTTTCAAAGTTCATGTTGCCATCTTTGAACCAAGTATGTAGTTTATTGCACAGAGACATACTGCCCTGTGCCTTTTGTTACCACTTGATTGTAGACTGTATATGCATTGTTTTAAAATTGTCTGACAATAGAAGATGTTATCTTATCAAATATAGTCACATGTTATTTTTTCAGTTTTCTTGGATATTTCTTACAGATTGAAGACATTTATAAATCCCTTACCAATTTGTCACAAGAAGAAAAGATAACACAGTTGTTAATGCTTAAACTGCGATATTTTACTCCTAAAGAAATAGCAAACCTCCTTGGATTTCCTCCAGAGTTCGGTAGGTGGGATACATGCAGACACAAGTTTGCATTTATTAAATTTCCCAAAATTCACTGGTACTCACATATGTATTTTATAAATAAATGCTTGTCTAATGGAGGATTTCAAGAAACCTCCTTCTTTTCCTGGGACCACAGTTAGCGTAATGGCTATGTCGCTGAACTCCCATGTAGTCGACCGCGGTTCAAGTCCCGGACCCAGTGACTTAAACTAACGCCAGGCGCGTGTGCGTGCATGCCCAAGATCCCGAGAGGAGAATGGAGGAGAAGGGATTGCGTCGTGGCCATCCCCCCGGGGGGCGGGGGGTGGTGATTTCCCGCTTTCTATCTCTCTGTCTGTCTCTGTCTTTCTGGCGATTGCACGTGCCCTGTAGCAAAAACCTCTCCAAAAAAAAAAAAAAAAAGAAAGAAACCTTTTCCTGATCATGCCATTTTTGACATGTTCCTTCTCCCTTTTCCCTTTCACTCATAATTTGCCCTAGACCATTCTCTTCTGACTCAACTCCTCTTCTCCCTTAACCCAACCATTTATGTGGGCAGGAGGGACAAAATAGCAATTCCTCCCCTCTTTCTTAAGGTGGCTATTAATAGCGTCCCTTTTCGGCTTATTTTCTTCCTACTAGAGGTCCCATCTTAGCAATCCCCCCTGGTAGATCTTGTGAAAGAATGCCTATATTGGTCTTTTTCATAAAGAAATTAAAAGGCAGTTGAGGAATTTTTAAGGGGTTGCAGAGAATGTATTTCTATTTAAGCTCCTTTCTAAAGATACGTTCTTATCAGTTATGTGCCTTTGTTCTTCCCTGTATGGTTTAAGTGGAGAAAAGAAAAAGTAGAGAGGTGGTCTAGCAAGGATCCTTTCTAGCAGAAAGAAAGGTGATTCAGGAACACAGTTATCAGCATTGACAAAAGATTAGGGAATCTTAAAACAACGGTGGAAAATGCAGAGTGAGAAAGATAAAGTCCTAATTCTCAGTGTAAGAAATGTGGGCACGCTTGCTGTTAAGACTGGACATACTGCCTTTTCCTTAGAGCAACTCCAGCCCCTCTCCTGATCCCATGATCCCCACTGCAGAAAGCAGTGCTCTCAGCTGTAAGATGCCATTGGTTTCTTAGGCCCGGGGTGGGTATGCTTCTAATACCTGGCTGATGGGCCTGGGGAAGGATTGACTGCCCTGATATGCCTCATGTGCGTATGTGAACTCTCATTAGGAGTTTAAATGCAGAAAAGTCAAGCTTTATTAAATCAATACAGTTGTAATATTACTACTATTCTTGAGTAAGTAATGGGTTGAGTAGATCATGTTTCAAATCCTAAATAATGGGGCCCAGATGATGGTGTAGGGTAATGCAACTGGCCCCACATGATGAGGTCCCTCTCTACATATCTGGCATATGTGCGGGCTCATGGTCTGGGCTGGCTAGTGCTAGTGGCAGATCCAAGTATGAAGACCCTATGAGGTGCCTGTCTCTCTTTCTTTCTCTCTACCTCCACTCTTATGGAAGAAAGAAAGAAATAAGTTTGTAAAAAAAAAAAAAAAAACCCCTTAAATAATGGATTTACAGGTAAGGTTCTGGAATACAACCTTTTGTGCATTGGAACAAACTGCCAATATAATATGGTTTGACTGTCCTCTTGGTAATAGATTCTCCGAGAGCAGAGGTTTATTTTCTGTTCCCTTCCTTTTTCTTGATGAGCCCCTTCAGACCCAAATATCCTGGAGAGTGTTATTTATGAAACGACTTTCCACATCTTAGTTTATGTCACAAAGTGAATGAAAATGTCACAGAACAAATGAAGTGGAGAATTGGACTCAAGAATTGTAATTTCCAGTCTGCTTTCCTAGTTACTTTTTTTCTTTTCTTTTCTTCTCTCTTTTTTTTTTTCTAATGAATAGACATACTTTACATACTACTAATGAAATACAAGATCAACTATCTATAATGAAGACTTATTTCTCAGTTTTATCCCAGCGGTTATTTTTCTTCAAGGTGTAGTCACTTCAGTAATACCAAAACTGCATAAGGAGCCCAGAGCCCAGAGTCAAAGTAACCAAATTCAAATCCTATCTTCACTGTAACTTCTCTGCCTTAGTTTACTCATCTGTAAAATGAGAGTAATTATTGCAACTGCTTCACAGAGTTCTTGTGATACTTTAGTGAGTTAATATATATAAAATCCTTATCATTTCTAGGATATCATTTATAAATTTATTGACAGACATTTACTTTTATAAATTATATTTTTTTCTCTTTATTTTAAAATTTGGAGTAAGTAAAATAGAATTACTTAAAACTCTTTGGATATATATATATATATGTAATACAAACAAAAATGTATTTTTAAGTTGCTGAATCTTCTTTTAAAATAATAGATATATTTGTATAGTCAGACTTTCCCTGATGTCACCATGTCACCACTGTCCCTCACATGTGGTTTTGACATTATTGACTCTGGTGCCAAAACAGGCATCTTTTGTGCTGTTTGTCCACTGGCAATAATGGATTTGCATTGATCCTTCAGTACATCTTGTCCTGGTTCTGTCCGTGATTGGCAGCATGCACTGGTGTGGTAGCAGGCTCTGAAAGAGAGGGATACTATCTTACACATACTGGGTGAAAGCTATTATCTTGACCTTAAGTCTATGTTTTTTGGTTTTGAGAATTATTATTATGTATCTAAGATTTTACAAAGTCATCTTTACCTTGAAAATTATGTAATTTGGGGTCTAGTGGTTATGACACTGAACCGCCACATGGCCAACCATCGTTCGAGTCCCAGACCTGGTGGCTTGAAACTCAGGCTGGGCACATTGTGTGCCCAAAATCCCAAGAGGAGAATGGAGATGGAGGAATTGCAGCTTAGCCATCTACTCTCAGGTATTTCTCACTTTCTCTCTTCTCTGTCTAGTGAGCACATGCTACCAGTAGCAAAAATCTTTATTTATTTATTTTCATTTCATTTTCTTCCATACATTCAATCACATTATTATCTGTCTTACAAAATGGGTATTTCAGCAGGTGAACATTTCTCCCTAGTACTGCTGATAAAACGACGACATATCTTCAACAGATAATAATACTACACCTCTTTGTGCCATTAATGCTTTGCCTCCCTGTCAAAATATAATTTTCTCCTATAAATTAGTTTAGATTTTAATACCTATGTATGAAATACTCACAGATACACATACACACAGGTATACACACACACACACAATTTTTAAGAATCTTACTGGTTTGTTTTCAAATTTTCTTCTCTTTGATATAATCTCACTATTGGAAAAAGATACTGTCTCTAGAGTATTCTAAAAGCTTTGTGCCTGTGGCCACTTTAAACTAACATTTTTGAGATGAGTAAAACTAAAGTTTTGAGTTTGGGACTCAAACCACATTCATAGTTGAATGTCCTTGCATAAGTCAAATCTTTTCACTTGCAACTTTATGGTCATGTTTAATTGCAAATATAATTTTATTATAGTAATTACTGCTATTTTATTGCAGTTAATATAATGTCAAGTGTTGATGAAACAGCTTTGCCATAGACAATGTACTCTCTGACTCCCACAAGTAAATGTCAGTTTGCTATTTTTTTTTTTTTTTTTGAGAGAGACTTTTGCTATAGGGTGTCTGTGCTTGCTGGAGAGACCGAGACAGACAGAAAGCGAGAAATCACTCCCTAGGGGAGTTGGTCATACCACAGTCCCTTCTCCTCCATTCTCTCAGGATTTTGGGCATGCATGTACACGTGCCCAGGGTGAGTTTTAAGCTGCCAGGTCTGGAACTCAAACCATGGTCAGCTACATGGGAGTCCAGTGATATAACCATTATACCATCTGCTAGTCCTGAAAATTTACTATTCTTAATGTTCTCTAATTATTTCCTTCATTTATTATATAATTTATGTTTCATTTATTTGTTTTGTCAAAGGGTACTGAATATGAAATTTTGACATTGTAACTAACATTGTAGTGTATACTCTTCTACATGGACAGTCTTTTATTCTGATATTTCTAAGGGCCTTGTCCCAGTAATTGTATTATCTGTAGGGATTTTGTTTTGAAAAAGAATATATTGAGTAGAAGTTCAATATGAGAAAGTAGAATATGAAAAACATCTGTGAGGAATTTGCATCCAGAATATAAAAAAAAAACTATAACTCAACAACAGAAAGAAAAGAAATCTAATTTAAAAATGGGAAAATGATTTGAATGAACATTTCTTCAAAGATGATAGACAAATGGCCAATAGCACATGAAAAAGATTCTCAACTTCATCAGTTTTTAGGGAAGTGCAAACCAAACCACAACATGCTATCCACGCTATCACTTCATACCCATTAGACAAGTAAATAATAACAATGATGGCAAAGATGTGAAGAAATTGAAACCTTATTCACTGCTGGTAGAATGATAAAATGGCGCAGTTGCTTTGGAAAACTGTCTGACAATTCTTCAATGTTAAACATAGTTATTGAGGCTGGCAAGTGGTGTGGTGGTTGGGGTGCTGGACTCCTACATCGTCTACCATGGTTTGAGTCCTGGACTTGGTAACTTGCTTTCTCACTTTCTCTCTCTCATCAAATTAAATAACAAGAATAATAAATACAATGAAATAATTATTTAAAAAATAGAGTTACTCTATATCCCAACAATTTTATCTCTTAGTATTAATTGAAAGTATATGTCCACACAAATATTTATACATAGATGTTTATAACAGCAATATTCATGATAGCCAGAAATTAGAAACAACCCAAATGTCCATCAGTAAATGAATGAATAAATGTGGTACTTCCATAGCGTAGAATGTTATTTGACCTTAAGAAGAAATGAAGTATTGATATGATCTACAAAATGAGTGAACATTGAAAGCATCATGTGAAGTGAAAGAAGTCTTATGCAAAAGACATTGTACTAGGTGGTTCCATTTATATGAACTGTTCAGAAAAGACAGATCCATAGAAACAGAAAACAGAAAGCAGAGTAGTATGAGGGGATGGGATGGGAACTAGGGAGGACTACTAATATGTACCAAATTTCTTTCTGAAGTGATGAAAATATTCTGGAATTAGATAGTAGAGACCTTTGAAAAACTCTGTGGCTACACCAAACCATTCAGTTACAAACCTTTTTTTTTTTTTTTTTGGTGAGGTTTTTGCTACAGAGTGCATGCGCTCTCCAGAGAGACAGAGAGAGACAGAGAGACAGAAAGCAAGAAATCACCCCCCCCCAGGGGGGATGGCCACACCGCAATCCCTTCTCCTCCATTCTCCTCTCGGGATCTTGGGCACACACACACGCACATGCACCCAGCGTGAGTTTTAAGCCACCGAGACCGAGGCGGGGACGCGAACCGCGGTCGACTACATGGGAGTCCAGCCACATAGCCATTAGGCTAACTGCTGGTCCCCCAGTTATACACTTTTAAAAGGCAAATTTTATGATATGTGAAATATATCTCCTGAAATAATTACTGTTGTTAAGTAAAAGAAGCAAATGTGAAATAGTGGTAGCCTCTGCTTTTTTCTTTTTCTTTCTCTCTTTTTTTTTTTTTTTAAGAAAGATTTTTGCTATAGGGTGGGTGAACTCGCCAGAGAGACAGATAGTGAGAAATCACCCCCCAGAGGGGATGGCCACACTGAAATCCCTTCTCTTCCATTCTCCTCTTGGAATCTTGGCCATGCTCGGCGTGAGTTTTAAGCTGCTGGGTCCAGTACTCGAACCATGGTGGACTGTGGGAGTCCAGCAATGTAATCATTATGTCATCTGCTGGTCCCGCCACTGCTTTTTCTAAAGCACACTTATCCATGGATTTCTATGAGTTCTGTGGATATTGTGTGCCTACATATGTGTACACAAGAGTGCAATGTGATGTTATATAATACAGTGTGAACTGGTTATGTTTCGTTGTGTAGGCAATGGAACGAAATATAATGTATGATATTTTTAGCTCCAACTTTTCATTTGTTAATGAAACTACATGGAGACATTAGTGATTTATTTATAAAGTGACCACTGTCATCTTACCACAGGATACATCTTTTTATCTCTGGAAGCTATTATAAATGATTGTATTATATTATAAATTGTTGTCTCTCTCTTCTAGGATTTCCTGAGAAGATAACAGTGAAGCAGCGTTATCGCTTACTCGGAAATAGTCTCAATGTTCATGTAGTAGCTAAACTAATAAAAATCCTACATGAATAACTTCGAAATAACTCTGAAAGATGGTCATGGTATTTCTTTATGTCCAAATAGTAATTCTGAAATTCCATTTTGAACTAATTCTTATAAAATTCAGCTAAATTATTTTAATTTTTCTTTAGTAAGATATTTTGGGATCAGTTTCTGTCACACAGTGATTAAGGGAGCCAGATCCCGTATGTTGGACTATGACTTGAATACCAGCTTTTCAGTGGTTTGGAAAACATTCTAGGTGCATATATGTGCCTCAAATTTTGATGGCAAGGAGGAATGTTGGTAAAAGGATTGTGGCATGACCATGCCTCACTGATGGGTGCTTTCTCTCCCAGTCTCTCTAGCAAGCACATGTACCCTCTGGCAATAAAAAATAAATAAGAAACCTGGGGCTTATCAAAGAAACCTGGGACTTATCACAAAAAGGTCATTTCGTTTCATCAAATTTGTATTACATAGTTTTGTAAAATGCAAATTGCCATTATACTTTATAGAGAATATATTTTTATATGAAACTTAAGTGTGTGTGTGTATATATACACACATATGAAGTCTTCTCTTTATAATATGGTATGAAAAATTAGGAACATTAGAATTTTAATGTGTACATGAATATTTTATATAGTGTTATAATGAGCATGATGTAATGAACCTGAGGAATTATATTTTTGTCTGTTAAACTTGTTTTATGAACTTAATTGTTTCACTTTTTGGTTAAAGAATTATTCTTGATTCTGAAATGGTGATTCTAATGTTAGCCTATTTCAAATATTGAATGCTTTACGCGAACCATGATCGAATACGTGGGAGTCCAGCGACATAGCCATTACGCTAACTGCTGGTTCCCAAGAATTATTCTTGATTCTGAAATGATGATTCTAATGTTAGCCTATTTCAAATATTGAATGCTTTACTTAATCCAATCCTTTAAATGTTCCTTTATTTTATCTAAAAAATGCATGTAATATTTTAAACAAAATTGCCGTCATCTAATTTATACAACAGTCTAGAAAATACGTCAGAAAAAGATTCCTGAATTCTTGATTACCTGTCCATTAGAAGGCCATGGAAAATGTGTGGATACATATTATCTAATTGTCTTTTCTTCAGCATTCATCTGATGGACAAACTCATTATCTCATCTTCATTTGCATGTACAAATGATTCCCCAACTTCTGATTGTTCAACTATAGATTATTTTTACTTTACGATGGTGATAAAATTATATGTATTCAGTACAGACCACACTTCGAGTACCCATACAGCCATCTTGTTTTTCACTTTCAATGCGGTCTTTAATAAACTACATGAGCTACTCAACACTATGTTGTATAATAGGCTTTGTGTTAGATTATTTTGTCACATTGTAGGATAATGTAAATGTTCAGAACATGGTTATGGTAGACTGCGCTGTGCGTTTAACATTCTTTAGGATGGATTTATCAAGACATAACCCATGGTAAATGAGGAGCATCTATACTTTCCATTAGTTTCCTAGTTTCAGAACTTGTTTTTGTCTTCCTTTTCAGTTCCTGAGTTGAATTTGCCAATAACATTCCAAGAAATGTAGAGTAGCATTAAGATTTTAGAGAGGAAACTGTACTCTGACCCCATTCCATATGATGTTACCCATCCTGTTCCCTTTTTTTTTTTTTTTGAGAGGTTTTTGCTATAGGGCGTGTGCACTCGCCAGAAAGACAGAGAGAGACAGAGACAGAAAGCAAAGCATCACCCCCTGGGAGGATGGCCACGCCACAATCCTTTCTCCGCCATTCTCCTCTCAGGATCTTGGGCACGCATGCACACGCGCCCAGTGAGTTTAAGCCACTGGGTCTGGGAGTTGAACCGTGGTGGACTACATGAGAGCCTAACAACATAGCCATTACACCAACTGCTGGTCTCCCTTTTTAAAAAAAAATTGTGGTAACAAACATTCTGTATTAACTACTATATTTTAAGTTTTAACTTTCTCTCTCTCTCTCAGTAGACTTCTTGGAATTGAGGTTTCTGAACAGATGACTTGTATCATATATCCTGTGATTTTGGTTTCAGTGTTAAAAGCTAGTGACAAGTAGAAGAGAAATAAAAGACCAGAAATTGTATCACAAATTTTAATTCATGTTTTATTTTAAAAAGACAACTTCCAATGTGGAGAAATTGGAACCCTTGTATGCTGCTTGTGGGAATGTAGATGGTACAGTCATACAGTAGAAAACAATATGGAGGTTTTTCAGAAAGTTAAACAGAGAATTACCATGTGATCCAATGATTCCATTTCTGGGTATATATCCAAAAGGATAGAAAGCAGATATCTGAACAGATGCTTGTATACCAGTGTTCATCACAGCATTATTCACAATAGCCAAAGAGTAGAGGCAACCCAAGTGTCCATCTCATTGGGTGATGAATGGATAAGCATAATGCTATGTATACATATAATAGAATAATAGTAAGCCTTAAAAAGGAATAAAGTTAAAAAGGAGTGGAGACAGTGGGCATCCTTGTCTTGTTCCTGTGTTTAGTGGGAAGTCCTCACCAACACAATCAGAAAAGAGGAAAAAATAAAGGGCATCCGAATAGGAAAAGAAGAGGTGAAACTCTATTTGCAGACAACATGATTGTAGACATAGAAGACCCAATGGTCTCCAAGGAAAAATTACTGGAAGTAATACATGATTACAGTAAAGTTGCAGGATATAAAATCAATATACAGAAGCTGATAGCATTTCTATGTATGAATAACAGACAGACTGAGATAGAACTGAAAAAAGTTATTCCATTTACCATAGCCACCAAAAGTATTTGATATTTAGGAATAAATCTAACCAAAGAAGTTAAAGGCCTCCACAAGGAAAACTATGAGAAGCTAAAAAAAGAAATTGAAAATGACACAGAAAAAAATGGAAGGACCTCCCATTTTCATGGATTGGCAGGATTAATATAATCAAAATGGCAATTCTACCCAAATTAATCTACATATTTAATGCAATGTCAATCAAAGTACCAGACACATTCTTCACAGACCTAGAAAAGAATCATAAAATTTGTCTGGAACCATAAAAGACCCCATATTGCCAAAGCAATTCTCACAAGAAGAGTGGAGTGGGCGGCATCTCACTCCCCGACCAAAAAATATACTACAAAGCTGTGGTAATCAAAACAGTATGGTAACATGTGCACGCGTACATCCAAAATCCTGAGAGGGGAATGGAAGAGAAGAGATCATGGCGTGACCCTCCATCCTAGGGGGTGATTTCTTGCTTTCTGTCTCTCAGTGTCTCTCTTTCTCTCCAGTGAGTGCATGTGACCTAAAGCAAAAATCTCCCTTAAAAAAAAAAAAGTGCAAATCTCAACAATCAAAATTTAAAGTTCAAGCTCACCTATTACTAATGGCTGTGCAAATCACATCCTTTCTATTCTGATCAACTCAGCATCTCTGGGGACACAGATCATGTTCCCTACCCTCAAGTTAAGTAGTTCTCAATTCCTCTATCTCAAATTATCTCTGTACACCCTCTCTGAGAGTTGAAATTTTTCATGCTCTTTGACAGAGGAAAGGCTTCACTGAGAGCATAACTTTTCTTAATGATTTCTGATAGCCTCTCTGACTATGCAAAATGTTCTTCAAAAAAGTTACAGAGATATCATAATTTATGATAACACAAATATGGTATAATAATATGTTAGGAAGTTCTATACCCCTATGATTTCTTAGACTTTTAAGATTTAGATTCATTTTGAACAATCAATATTATTGCTAAATATTAAGTTGGAAAAGATTAAAAGAAAACTAGACTATGGTAGAGAAAAGATAGACACTTGACTTATTATAAATAGTTACTAAGTAACCTTTTGATTATCCCCCCAGGACAGTGAGAGACAATATAAAACAAAGAAATGGTCCCCAGAACCTGTGATAGCAGCACTATTCACGATTGCAAAGTCATGGAACCAACCCAAATGCCCCCGTATGGAGGAATGTATTGAAAAACTGGCACATATACACCATGGAATACTACTCAGCCATAAAAACCAACAAAACCTTGGCTTTTGACAGAAAGTGGAAAAATATGGAAGGTTTACTGCTGAGTGAGGCAAGCCTGGCTATGAAGGAGAGACATTGTATGTCCTCACTTAACATATACCGAATATCTGCACTGTGTCTGAAACTGATTGACTAACAGTTCTACAAACATAAGAGATGGATGTGACTGTCAGATGAGGTGTATGTGGAGGAGTGGGGCCTAACGAAGGACATTTGGAGAAGGGATACGGAGGTAGAACATTGACGGGATGGGGAAGTGTGGTGTTATCGGTTGAAGATATTTTGATCAACGGGACTGGGGAGAAATGTTCACATATTGAAATGCTCACATTGTAATCTAAACAATGTGATTGAATGTATATACAAAAAAAGAAATTAAATTAAAAAATGGAGGGAAAAAAAGGAATAAAGTTGTGGGACATGCTCTGATATGGATGAGTCTTGAGGATATTATGCTAAGTGAAATAAGCCAATCAGAAAAGGATAGATATTATATAATTACACTTAATATGAGGTTCCTGGAAGAATCAAGCTCAGACAGATCTGGGGAGAGGGAAGGAGTGATTAATGGGTTCAAAGTTTCTGATGGGGGTAATAACATTCTCTAGGTAGGTGGTGGTGATGGTTACACAATAATGTGAATGTACCTAATGCTGCTGAACTGTATACTTAAAAATAATTAAAATGGTCAATTTTGCATTGTGTATATTTTACTTAAATTAAGAAAATCATATTTATTACCTTTTTTTCAGAACTCAGATGAACATGATAAAGGGAAGGTGTAGGGTATTGTATGTGCATCTGTCATGATCTTATCTACATTTTGCATATCTGTTTAAAGCCAAATCTTATTACAAGTCTTCCAAGTTTTAGTGTCATAATCTGAAATCATTGTGGAACATTTTCATGTAGGTTCACTTCTAAAAGAAAATTATTTATAAAGATTTATTGTAATTATGCTATGATTATAATTATGCTGTCATTATAGTGTCCTATGTCCCATTGAGCAATAATATACAAAATAAGTGTTGAGTTATGGTGCCCAACCATAGACACATGTCTGTGGAGGCATTTGCTTACAAATTAGAAAACAGAATATAGCTTTGTAAAACCTAAATTATTAAAATATATTCAATACAGATAGCCAGTAATTCATTATTGAAATATGTAGTAGCAAGCATAGAACACTTGATGAAGATACATATACCAGTGTCATTTAGTTAGCAGGTATATATGCATAACTAATTTGGAAAATACTTTATTGACCCCTATAGGGGTCAATAATGAATATGCATAAAATCTGTACTGGAATGT